ATCTAGGTATTTATATGATGTCACCACTTCCATGTCCACTCCACAGGTGTTCACTGGCTGAAGAGGGGGTTTGGATCTACGGAAGTCTATGACCATCTCCTTTGTCTTTGAGGTGTTGAGAAGGAGGCAGTTTTTGTGACTCCAGTGACTGAAGGCTCTTATTAGATCTCTGTATTCAGCTTCTTTTCCATTTCTGATACATGCCACAATAGCGGTGTCATCTGAGTATTTCTGGATGTGGCAGGACTCAGTGCTGTATTTGAAGTCTGACGCGTACAGTGTGAACAGGAATGGCACCAGCACTGTCCCTTGTGGAGCCCCTGTACTGCTCATTAATGTCCCAGAAACACAGTTCCCCAGCCTGACAAACTGTGGCCTTCCTGTCAGGTAATCTGTGATCCAGGAAACACAGGAAGGATCCACTCCCATCTCTGTGAGCTTGTCTTTGAGTATGGTGGGTTGGATGGTGTTGAATGCACTTGAAAAGTCGAAGAACATGATCCTCACATAAACCCCAGGTTCCTCCAGATGAGACAGGGCACGGTGAAGCATATAGAGGACAGCATCATCCACTCCAATGTGTTCTTTGTATGTAAACTGCAGGGAGTCCAGTTTGTCTTTGACCTCAGACCTCAGAAGGCGTAGAATCAGCCGCTCCAGGGTTTTCATGATGTGTGAAGTGAGGGCCACTGGTCTGTAGTCATTGAGTTCAGCAGGACATTTTGTTTTTGGTACTGGCACAATGCAGGATGTTTTCCACAGAGCAGGTACCCGCCCCAGCTGTAGACTCAGGTTGAAGATCTTGTGGAGAGGTTGACGCAGTTCTGCAGCACAGTCTCTAAGCAGCCTTGGACACACACCATCTGGACCAGCTGCCTTCCCAGGACAAAGTCTTCCAAGCTCCATCCTCACCCCTGTTTCGGTGACAGACAAGGACTGGTGTTCTAGGGGGAAGGCAGTTAAAGTGGTTGAGACATTTGAACGAGATGGAGGAGGAAGGGGAGAAGTTGTAGAGGAGATTTGTTGCAGAGAGGAAGGTGGAGTAGCAGTGGAAGTGGGAGTGACAGCAGTGTCAAATCTGTTGAAGAACAGATTGAGTTCATCAGCTCTTTTCAAATCACCCACCGCTGGCTGTCTTTTCTTTTGACTGCTGTGTCCAGAGATGGTACTGATTCCTCTCCACACTTCACGGATGTTGCTGTGTTGTAGATTCTTCTCTATCTTCTTTTTGTACTCCAGCTTTGCCATCTTCAGTCTCCTCTTCAACTCTTGTTGCACTTGTTTGAGTTGTTCTTTGTCACCATCTTTAAAAGCTTTCTTTTTCTGGTTAAGGATTGCTTTTATGTCTCTTGTGATCCAGGGTTTTTTGTTGGAGAAACAGCAAATAGTTTTTGTGGGTATAACTGTGTCTCTACAGAAGTTGACATAATCAGTAAAGCAGTCAACCTGTTTATCAATGTTCATAATATCCACATCTGTTTCCAGCAGCACATTCCAGTCTGTTGATTTTAAACAGTCGAGCTTCACTGGCTTGAAATGTCCATCTTCTGATTTTGACTTTGGTCACAGGCTGCCTCAGCTCACAAAGTCTGTAACAGGTTTGTAGATGGACCAAGTTATGATCTGACTTGCCCAGTGGTGGTAAGGCAGTGGCTCTGTAGGCTTCTTTGACGTTGGCATACAGCAGATCCAGGGTCTTGTTTCCTCTGTAGGCCAGGCCATTCCGCTTTGCTAGCAGCACGTGAACCAGTCAGGAGAGTCTACGATTCCTATGTCAGAATTTCAGTAGATCTCACACACAAACTGCGGTCTAACATTTTTGTCCAAGATTTGAACAGTTCACATATTTTTTTCTAAGATTATGTCAACATATGTTTACCTTATGATTTAAAACTTTGCATACATGTAGAATGGACCCCAAACTTTGTAACTTTGCAGTTCAGTTTTTGTTGTAAATGTGGGAAAGTAACCTTAACTTGTTTATCTTTCAAGCAAATATGACTGGTCCTCTCCACCGAGTTTTCAGGTATCAAGAGAAAGATGCGCTACAGACTCAGATTTTTACATAAACTGTAACCAACAGCTGACACAGATGTGACAGAATGTAATTGTAAGTCTCATTATTCAGCCAGATCCAGCACGGCCTGTTGGTCCTTTATGGCAACTTCACAGTTTCCCTCTTTGTTTCTTTGTACAGGTATAATAGTCTTATAAATACGAAGCACCAGTCCTTTGATTGCATGAAGTAAATTCATCATAATGAGAAAACAGTGATAGCACTCTACAAACCAGAGCTAGAATCACTCAGATGGACAATACAGGAGAGGTGTTTCACTGTAAATCTCATTTTAACCATCAAACAAAAAGCCATGTGTATGGAAAGAGCAAATGAAAGCCACATCTAGAAAGGTGTGCGTGACTTTGCAAAGTGTTGAGTTGTGGCTGTTTCCACAGCCTCCCGTGCTGCAGCGTTTTAGCACAGTAGTATTTTACACCTGCAGACCACTCTAATGTTACATTGTTTATGCATTAACACATCTGCCACCTCAACTGAGAACACCTTTCCTGCCACATGGCCGACAGATGTGTGGGCTGCACTCAGATAGCTTACATAGGACATCTGAATATGTGGTATGGAAGCTGTTGTATTTTTATGAGATGGTGCTGTGGGCTTTAAGCCTCTTTTGGTCTGAGCAGACTCCAAGGAAATGTCAGCAGCAGTTGTTTTGGACCTAAACTCTGCTGCCGGGCCTCACAGTGACAGTAGCCTACACTGTTTGTCTTCTCTGGTCTGTGTGTATAAAGTCTTTCTCTCTCAGGGTGTTCAACTCAATATTATTCAGCTGTGTTAAATACTTGGCTCTGATTGGTCAAAACCATTACAACGATTATAAACTCTCAGCAGAAAGAGTTGTGCCAGAGACAACCTGATCATACAAATTATATTAAATCAATCTACAGAAAAGAGTACGCAACATTTTCCCCCTGCCTGTTGACTTTGTGCTTAAAACATCACTGTGCACCTCAGGCTGCTGTTTAAAGGGGGGAAATAATGACAGTTAGCAGGCTCAGGTGTAAGGGTTTTCTAGAGGCAGGTTTTCTCGCAGATGGCTCCGACCGTTACAAGGAGGGTCAAGTAAGGTCGCTTTCACACCAGAGCTGTTTGGTCCGCTTTAAACGGACCAAAGTTCAGTTCCTCGGATAGTCCGCTTCGTTTGGGCAGGTGTGAAAGCTCATCCGAACTCTGGTGCGGACCAAACAAGCGAACTCTGGTCCGCCTGAATACGTGGGTCTCGGTTCGCTTGCAAGTAAACCCTGGTTTGGTTCGTATGCAGTGTGAAAGCTCACCGGACCAAACACAGTGCCCCTTTCAACCACGTGATGCCGCTCGGAAATGTTGGTGCGCTTTAGAAATCACAGTGTGAAAGCAGAACCGAAACCAGTGATAAATGCAACAGTGTTGTGACTTTCAGCTCCCCAATCGAACTGAGTCCGCTTGGTCAGGTGTGAAAGCAACCTAAGAAAACGAATAGGGGGTCAAATAAGAAAACAATAGGGAATCACTCCAAAACCGAGGAGCAACTAATCCGATCTACTTTAACTTCCAATTTAAAAGACTCCAAAGTATGTTACATACTTGAATATCATTTCTAACTTTTTGAAGAGCACCTCACCTTTCAGTATCAATCTGAGTCTTATTTTGCTCCCTGCTTTCCTCTTCATGTTTTCTGCTGTATCTATTGTCCTGTTCTGTCAATAATGTCCAAAAAGCCTCAAAATACATCCTTAATAAAAGTACTTTGTAGAAAGGTAGCATTCAAATCTGACAAACACGTTTGTCCAAAGTCACCAACTAAAGTGCAACAAGTGACAGAGCCCACTTACAGATAGAAAGAAGCTGATGAAACTAAAGATGAAACATAGCCTACAGTTCTTTCTCTCTTTCTTTTCTTGGTGTGTGTAAAAACACAAGTGCCAAACATTCAAAGCATTGACAGTCCCAATGGACAGAGTGTACAAACAAAACTCAACAAAACAGCAACAATCCAGTACAAGAAGGCACAGAAAGAAGCAGAGCTTATCATGTCCTGCCCCTACCGTTACAGTCTACTCAAAGTATCAACATTCTGCATGTGTCTCTGAGTGTGTGAGTGTGTGTGTGTTTGTGTACTCCATCTGGATCCCCATTAGCAGTCACTAATGCAACAGCTGCTCTTCCTGGGGTCCACATGGAAAACAGAAAATGCAAAACATACAGTATATAAAACACAGTCAATACTAAATGTATGATCAAACCATCAATGTTTAATAGTTTAGAACAGTACATATTTCTGCATGGGGGTTTCTGCTTAATTTTTCTATTAAGTAACATGACAACAGGTGTGACTGTCAGTTAATTAAGGGGTTGAGGTGTATATTTCAGAAGTATCTATGGATAAAGATCAATTTCTGAGCTGTAACGAATTATACCAACCAGCACAGATGGTAAATGCACTGACACTATGCCACGATACACTATGTTTTCTTTGTTTTTTGTATAAAAATTCTTATATGTCAGCCTACGAAATTTGCAATATGATTATAAAAATTACACAAAATTACAGAGGATGAAGGTTCTGTTCATGATGCACTGATACCACCCCTCCACATGTGTGGGGACAACTACTGAACTTTCGAGTAGTTGCCAATACCCAGTCCAAATTCTTGATAATAATCAAATGATCAGAATGAGACTTTTTAATGATTACCAAAAGCTCAACTCTACCGGTTTGCTCTGTTCTCTTGTTTATCATCACAATTGATTCTAAAATATCTTCTGCATCACGTTCAGATGCTCTGGCTACGTGTCTGCATCAAGTTCATATAGTAGTTTGCTGTCTGCAAATTTGTCAGTTCAAGTACATCTTCATAAAGCTGATGGCCTGGTGTGGGGTTGTTAACCAAGCAGCAGAGGCAATGTAACAGCATAGGATGACACAGAATCCTTGGCAGCTGTAGCAATGTCCCCTGCTGCCCAGTCCAACCACATTGACACATCTACCAACCTGTCTTCTGCAGAAAGAGAAGATCTCCCAGCCCTGTTTGCAGACATTCCTGCCCTTGTACATGACTACAGCTACCTTCCCCATCACTTTAATGGTCCTTGTCGACAACGCTCTGGTGTACATTGCAGGTAGAGGTCGATCGAGAATGGGTTTTGGCTATAACCAATAGTGCCAATTCTGGGGAAAAACAGGGCCGCTTAATCAGATGATTGTCCCAAAAAAGTAATGTCGCCCTAATTTTTCTATGCTTATTAACTATTATTACATTATTAATTGGTCTACCCGTAATTAATAACCTGCCTGGTGAAGGACGCTGCCAGTAGCTACGGCAGATACCACCTGCAGACTCTGAAAAACAACAGAGGTCTTGTGATTTCATCTGAAGGCACAGTGAGGGTCATCAGAGCAGCAGAGTGGGTCATTCGCCAGGCATCAGCAGGCAGACGATCACAGCCCATCAAACCACAAGAGGCCCTCTACATTGTGCGCAAGCGGATCGGGTCAGCCACTGTGTTTTTGCTCTGGGCGCATATAAAACACACACAACATTTTACGTAGAGGAGAGCTATTTGGAGGAGGATTCTTCTGAACTGAGGAGTTTTTCAGAAGAAGCAGATTGTGCATCATTTGCACACCCAGGGTAGACTAAAAAAATGACTGTTTCTGATTTTAAACATGTATAGGTTGACTTTTTCAATGTGAAATCAAAACTCCATGAGCAATTACAAAAATAGAAAGCCACGATAAAGACAAATTAGTTTTTGTATTTCTTCTCTTAAACAGCTGACAATTCCATATAATGTGCAATCATCACTAACCAGATGTTGCAAAGTGAAGTTCAAGTACTCTTAGAAAAAGGGACCAAAGCTCCCAAACTTAGACATGTAGACAACAAGAGAAACATGATTTTCATCAGAGTGGGTCTTTAAGAAGCATTTGCAATGTTGTCTTCACTTCTGTTTGTGGACCTAATCGGACCTCCTGTGGACTTATTTGATCTGCTGCTGTTTGTAAGATCCTGGGTCAAAGCAGGGCATCGTCTCTTCTCTTCTTGGACAACGGGACAACGGTGAAAAGAGGCCGAGCCAAGGCCTCTGTGGTCCATTCGTGCTTAAGGGAAGAAAAATAAATAAATACAGGCTTAAATGACTGTCTGTGATATACCTGCTTTGCTTCATATTGAAACACATTTCACCATAAGTCGGTTGGCTGGGGTCATATGTGAATGTATGGATTTGTATATGTGAGTACACGCCCGCACAAGAGGGGCACACAAGTGCCCTATTTGGTCACAGAGCAGAGTTGTGCTGTAGTCCAGCAGCTGTCTGCAGCTTTGTTGATAATGATGCTAGACAGTTGGCTTATAACGTATCCGCTTCGCCCGATGCTGAACTCCGGCTCTGCATCCTCTCCTTCTCCTGCGGAGCTTGGCGGGGATGTTCGGTCTCTCAAACTCCAAAAAATAAAAGAAAAAGTGCCTGAGTCATAGTCATAGTTTCATATATATATAATTTGCAACACGGCAGTGGGCGGCAGTAGCTCAGGAGGTAGAGCGGTCATCCAATAACCGGAAGGTTGGCGGTTCGATTCCCCCCTTTTCCAAGTCTGTCCGTTGTGTCCTTGGGCAAGATACTTAAACCACCTTGCTCCCAGTGTGTGTCCTCCACTGGTGTATGATTGTGAGTGTTGTGTGGTGGTGGTCGGAGAGGCCGTAGGCGCAAAATGGCAGCCACGTTTCCGTCAGTCTACCCCAGGGCAGCTGTGACTACTAAGGTAGTTTACCACCACCAAAGAGTGACTGTGTGAGCGAATGAATGATGTATCCAATGTAAAGCGCTTTGAGGGTCTCTGATAAAGCACTATATGAAATCTGATGCATTATTATTATTATTATTAACACAATAAACATGACAATTGTGTAAAGAGTAACTTATCAGAAGACATTTTGACTATAATAATTAGGTATTTGAGTTATTGATGCTTAGACTTTGCTTTCTTTAAAATAACCTCCTCTGGCTTTAACAACAGCTTGGCATATACCAGGCATTCGTGCCACTAGTTTTCTAAAGTATGTTCTTAAGGCTTCTAAGGCATTCTTAAGTTCATTAAAAAGAGACTGCTGATTCGTGGGACGCGTTGTTCTGACCGATCGATCCAATTCATCCTGCACAAGCTCAATTGGAGAAAGGTCTGGAGACTGAGGGGGCCAAACCATCTTTTGAAGAACACCTTCCTCTTCTCTTTTGTCTAGGTAACCCTGACAGAGCTTGGCAGAGTGCTTAGGATCATTGTCTTGTGGCTCATAAGTTTGTTTTGTAGCAAGTCTGAGTCCAGATACACCATGGAAACACTCACCTCCTCACACGCGTGCAACAGCTGCCTCCAAAAATCCAAAGAAATCGCTGAGCTGGAGCGTCGCATTTCCAGCCTCCACTGGATCCGTGGCGAGGAGTTACTCCTGGACTCGATGCTGACGCTGGGTGCGGGCCTCCCTGTAGACCCAGCCGAGTTGGACTCCACCATCCCGGCAGCCGCTGCTCCGCGGGCTCCACCGGCCCCAGCGGGTGCTGCTGCCGCCTCTGGCTCTCCACCTTCCCCTGCAGAGGCTCCTGCTGAGCCGGCTCGTCCTCAACCCATGGACGCTTGGCTGACTCAGGGTGCAAGGCCAAGGCGAGTGCCGGCTCCCGCACTGGACTTCACTCCACACCCGAGGAGGTTTAACATTCGGAGTTCCACCCCACGGTCCACAGCGGCTGCAAAGAGGAGGACCAGCCTGAAACCCCACTTCGATCTCCAGCTGTCCTCGAGGTACGATGTTCTCAGTATTGCGGATTTTCCTCTGCTGCCAGGAAGGCCGGATCCGGGCCCAGCTGATGCCGGACGAAGTGCAGCCTCACCTCCGTCTGCAGCTGGGAACAAGGAGATGAACGGGGGTACGCACACGGGGCCTCGGCGCCCCCCTCCTCCCCCCCATCATGCAGACTCCTCGACCCGGTGCAAACCGTTCAGGGAACCTCTGCGAAGGCGCTCCGCTGGGAACAGACGTTCTCCGGCTCCCACCTTCGCACCACCGCCGCATCCTCGCCCACTGTTCCCCCCGACCATGGCAATCATCGGAGACTCCATCGTGAGGCACGTCCATTTTTTTAATGCAGTAACCCACTGCTTCCCAGGCGCCACTGTCCCAACTCTCCTCCATAAACTCCCGGAGCTGCTGGGCTCACTCCCATCCTCCATCACGAGGCTGGTTTTACACCTGGGTTTTAACGACACTTCCTCCCGTCAGTCTGAGGTGACCAAGGACCATTTTAAGAAACTTTTTAAGGTTCTCACCAACTGCGGTAAGTCTGTTTTTATCTCGGGGCCCCTCCCCTCCTTCGACTGTGGCATCGGGCGCTTCAGCAGACTCCTCAGCCTGAACACCTGGCTCCATTCCGCCTGCCCTTGCGGGTTCCGTTTTATTGACAATTTTAACTTATTTTGGAACTGCTCCCCATTCTACAAGGCTGACAGAGTCCACCCCTCTCGCCTGGGCAGCAGGGTGCTCGGCGACAACATTCGCCATGCTGTCCAGTCCACATACACACCTACACACACACCCTCACACACACCTGACACACACACGTGACTGATTTCCCCCTCTTCCTCTGTGTCACTGTCCCAAGCCACTACCGCCACCACCAGCTCCCCCTACCGTCCACCCCCAGTACTACATCATACCACTGCCATTTCTCCTCCAATCTCACCCTCTGCCTGAATACAGTCAGTTTCACCAACACCTCACTCACAGTTCACCTCCATATCCTGCATCCCAGTCAGAATCTCACACCGAGCCCACAGAACATTTCCTTCACGGACCATCAACCTAACTCCTGTTAGCGCACGCTCGGCACGAACATTAATTTGGCCGTGCTAAACGTGCGCTCGCTTTTAAATAAGACATTTATTATCCACGATCTGATTTTAGACATTCTCCTTTTAACAGAGACATGGCTTGGCACTGATGCTTCAATTGTTCTCACAGAGGCTTGCCCCCCTAATTTTATTTTTTTATTTTCAACAAGGGGGGGGTAGAAAGGGAGGAGGCACTGCTTCAATTTTTAAAAACACACTGGGCCCAAACGAAGTTTCTTTTAACAGTTTTACATCATTTGAATACCACGCATTTGTTTTTAGCAGTCCTCCTACTCTCTGCATTACAATTTACAGACCACCCCATTACTCCAACTCTTTTATCAGCGAATTTTCTGAACTATTATCAATCTTACACACTACCCATAACAGGATTTTAATAACTGGTGATTTTAACTTGCACATTGATACAGCTTCTGATACAGTGTCCAAGGAGTTTTTAAACCTTTTAAATTGCATGGGTTTTAAACAGCACGTGGCACAGCCGACTCACAACAGAGGGCACACCCTGGATTTGGTCATTTGGATTTCCGGCCTATCCACTGGTGTGTCCTCTGTTGTCGACCTGGCTGTGTCGGATCACTACTGTGTCTATTTTAATATCACCAGTTTTAACCATCAGGAGGCCCCGGTGAGAACGGTGAGGAAACGCTACCTAACCCCCGAAGTGGCTTCAAATTTTATTGGGATTTTACAGAGCACTCCTGCCGCAATTTTACCTGCACCATGCGATTTTATTGTTGACCATTTTAACAGCACATTAAAAACCACATTGGACACAGTGGCTCCACCCGTAATGAAAACTTTTAAAACAAAACCCTTACCCCCATGGAGAAAAAAGGATGAAATCAGAAACATAAAGAGAAAATGCAGGAGTGCCGAACGCAAATGGAGAAAAAACAAATTAACAGTTCACCTCGAAATACTACAGGACTCACTCCAAAAATACAATAATGCAGTAAAAAAGGCAAGAACAGCCCACTTTTCAAAACTCATCACAGACCATAAAAACAATTCCAAATTCCTCTTTTCCACCATCGATCTTTTAACAAACTCCCATTTTAAAAAATCTTTTAAGACCCCCACAGACGCCCTCTGTGAGGACTTTGCAGACCACTTCGGGAGTAAAATAGATGATATTAGATCCAGTCTTTTAACTCATCAGAACGTGATATTTGACACATCTGAACAGCTGATTTTACCTGAGGAAACACTGGAGAGTTTTGCCCTGGTTGACGCAAGGACACTTGGTCGAGTTTTCTCCCGAGTAAACCCAACTACCTGCCTTTTAGATCCGATTCCCACATCATTTTTAAAAACATTTTACGAATTTTTTGAGGAACAGATTTTAACCATAGTAAATTGCTCTCTTCAGACAGGGGTCTTCCCCACCGCCTTTAAAACGGTGGTGGTGAGGCCCCTTCTGAAGAAGAGAAACTTGGATACTGATGTTCTTAATAATTATCGACCCATATCCAACTTACCGTTTTTAAGTAAAATCTTAGAAAGACTGGTTTTTAACCAAGTAAATTATTTCTTAAAAAGTAATAAAATTTTAGAGAAGTATCAATCCAGTTTTAGGATGAACCACAGAACCGAGACAGCCCTTTTAAAGATTTTAAACGATATCAGATGTAATGCTGATAAACAGAAGCTCACAGTTCTGGTACTACTGGATCTAAGTGCTGCCTTTGACACAGTAGATCACCAGATTTTATTAAGCAGACTCAGGCACCTGGTGGGCCTCTGGTACTGTTTTTAACTGGTTCAGTTCGTATCTCTCGGAACGATCCTTCTTTGTAAGTATGGATACCTGTTCCTCAAAAACTCATGAAATTAAGTGTGGGGTGCCCCAAGGGTCAATTTTAGGTCCAATACTTTTTAATCTCTATATGCTTCCCCTTGGGGATGTCATCAGGAGACACGACATCAGCTTCCATAGTTACGCTGACGATACACAGTTGTACATCGCCGTGTCTCCCGAGGACACAGGGCCTATTGATGCCCTTTTTAACTGCATTTTAGATATCAAGTCATGGATGGCAGTGAATTTCCTACAGCTCAACCAGGACAAAACAGAAGTTTTAATTATTGGTCCTGAAGGCAAGAGAGAGAAACTTTTACCAAAACTACAAGATTTTAAACCTGCTCAATCTGTTAAGAATCTGGGCGTAATTTTTGACTCTGAGCTGAATTTTATTCCACATATCAAGAACATAACAAAGATAGGTTTTTACCATCTTAAGAATATAGCCAGAGTCTGCCCGTTTCTCTCTCAGGCCAACACGGAGGTGCTGATGCATGCTTTTATTTCTAGACGTTTAGATTACTGTAATGCCCTTCTCTCTGGTCTTCCCAAAAAGACTACTCACATGCTACAACTGCTACAAAATTCTGCAGCACGTGTGCTGACGAGGACCAGAGGGCGGGAGCACATTACACCGGTTTTAAAATCCCTGCATTGGCTCCCCGTGTGTTTCAGGATCGATTTCAAGGTTCTTTTAGTAGTTTTTAAGTGTCTTAACGGTCTTGGCCCACCTTATTTATCTGAACTGCCTTTATCTTATCAACCCTCGCGTACCCTGAGGTCCTCTGGCGCCAGCCTTTTAGTTGTTCCTCGGACAAAAACTAAAACTCATGGAGAGGCTGCCTTCAGCCATTATGGCCCAAAGTTATGGAACAGCCTGCCAGAGAACATCAGGACCGCAGAGACTGTTGATGTTTTTAAAAGGAGGCTCAAGACCCACCTTTTTAGTTTAGCTTTTAGCTGATTTAACTGTTTTAGTTTATTTTATCCTTTACTTTTATCACATTTTTATGTCACTTAGATATTTTAACATTATTTTAATTTAGTTTTAGATTATTTTATCCTTTACTTTTATCAAATTTTTATATCATTTAGATATTTTAACATTATTTTAATTCCTACTATCTCTTAGTCTTTTTAGCTCCAGTGTTTCCTCGTGGGGGCCCTCCACACTGGGAGGTGTGTCTGGTCCGCCCCCGGGGGGCGTGGTCCTTGGGATTGTCCAGGCCCGGATGGTTAGGGGGCTCTGCACTATGTGCGGGGTGCACCCGGGCTGTCTGGGTCGGGGGGTCTCGGGGGCGGTGCTCCCTGTGGGGGTGGGCTGTGGCTCCTCTCGGTGTGGACGGCTCCCATAGGTGGTCTTTCCTTACCAGGATCCTCAGTGCCTTGCCATGTTTTTACTGTTAGTTAGTGTGTGGGTGTGTGGATACGTGTGTGCGTGTATGCGTGTGTGGGGGGGGGGGGGGGGGGCTGCTGTGCATGCCTGTATGTGCTGCTGTGGGTGGGAAGGGACGGGTTTTATGCCTATTTAATTGCCTTATATTTACCGTTGTTTGTTTTTTTACCATTGTTTGTTTTTATTTTCTTGTAAAGCACCTTGTGTTGCAGCTCGCATGAAAGGTGCTATATAAATAAATAAAAATAAAGTTTGAAGATGGAACAGCATGGTGCTGGAGGATGGAGTGGTACTGTTCCTTCTTCATGATACCCTTTACTTCAAACAAATCTCCTACTCCATCACCTGCAAAACATCCCCATACCATGGAACTACCACCTCCCCGCTGAATTGTGGGTGTAACACATGGTGCTTTCAGACGTTCACCAGTTTGTCTGCGGACATAGACTCTGCATTTTGAACCAAACAGTTCAAACTTGTTTCTAGTCATCATAAGTCCAATGTTTGTGAGCTTTTGCCCACTCATATCTCTTTTTCTTGTTCTGTGGATGAAGTAGTGTTTTTTTGCAGATACACAACCCTTCAGACCAGCCTTTCTCAAACGTCTTTTCACAGTTGTTTAGCTAGAAGGCGCTCGGTTCAATTCCCCCTCTGCCTCCAAATCTGCTCCTTGATGGTCATCCAGGCACGTTCAATATGTTGGGTGTGATGCTGCTCCTTCCAGTTGATGCTGCTTCATACCCAACAGGCCAAACACCCATTTACTTCTTTGCCTGGTGCCACACATTCTTCCTCTGCCATACTGTTATGATGACAAAAACAAAACATACAAACAAAAAAAAAAGCACAAGAGACACACCTAATTTAGTGGACAGTTTCCAGCCAAACATACCTTTTTAAATTTCATTTAAGGTAAGACATTATAATGATTGATATTGTTTTAATGGTGGCTAATGGGGCTGTGAATTGATAAAGAAAACCAAGCTTTTCTTAAAGGAAAAGAAAAACAGAGGAATGCCTAATATCTACTGTAGAATGACATTGGCTTTATGGAAATTCACCTGTCCAGAGCAGAAAAATATGGACTAAATATTACAAGCAATATTTTTCAGCTTTATCTTGATACATGATCAATCTTTCTATACTTTCAAATATCCTAAATAACACTGAGTTAATAGTTTGTTTTTGACACACGTTTTGTTTTTTTTTTTTTCTTTTTGGCTGTCAAGTTGATTTCAAATTAATGCTAACAGTGACAAAAGACAAAGTCAAAAAAACTGCACATGCTCAACAATAGCCGGATGTATTTGGATATAATGTATGATATCTCCTCCCAAAAAAATGTATTAAGAAGCTGAACACACTGAAATGCTAACCCATGTCATCATCCGGAGACAAATCCAGCAGGTAGCCTTTCTCATGATTTTTTTTTTTTTTCCTGAAGGTATTTAATAAGCTTTAAGGTTTTTCTCGACGAGTTTCCTTCAGAAATCAGTTTCCTGATCTCCTTTAGCAGGCCCATATTGCTAGTCACTATTTTTTCGTTTTGTAGCATTTCTGTGACACTTTAGAATTGTGGGTAGTGTAGTTCACTTCGCCTACATAGCAGTTAAACAACATTTAAAACAAGGTTGATCTAAACTTGTGTATCACACAGCAGCTTATAAAATTATCTTTTGAGAGGTAGCTGGTGTTGAGTCTACCTTGGACAAGAAGAACTGGTTATGACACAAAGGCTTATTTAATCCACTGGGAGTAAATTAATGGGATTTCTACTTCCGCAAATACAGTGTTGCGTACTGTCGCTACCAATTCTTCCCAGAAACCCGATTTGTACTACACATGTGCGAAACATACGTCAACTTCTTTTCTTCATATTTCAATGTATTTTATGGCAGTTAGTTATTACTATTGCTACCTATCCAATCCGTACTGCGCAAGTGCAAATAAAAACTTTATTTAACCTACCGATCAATCTCAGTAATCAGCTGGCTATGTGACAGGCTAGCTAGATAGAAGCTCCAGGGCTAGTGCAGAGGCATCTGGCAGAGCTGTATTACACAGAACATAATTTTTTTGCCCCCTGCTTGCTGTGTTGACATGTAGTTACATTAAGACTGGTTTGTGCTCAAGTCCTTTTTTTTTCTGTGAAGCTCCGTTTTTAAAAGTTATTAGGGGGTTCATATTTTCTATGATTGACACCTGATACAGCCTATTGGCATACAGGGATTGCTGAAGCTCACCCGGGGGATACGCTGTTTGAGCTGAGCATCATCACAGAGACTCTCGGTGACTCCCCGCCGTATGCGCACGGAGGCGGAACAGAGTTGTCCATAGTATATACAGTCTATGGCCACAACCCAGTCAAAATTTGGTTCTCTGATTTTTCTAAGCATCAAGGGGGGATTTATTTCATTCATTTTTTAAATTAAATTTACAAGAAGCCTACACATTATGGATGATGAATTTCAGCGTTTAAATCTCAACAATGAAATATTGACATTTATTCCAGCCTTTTATAACTACGTTGCAATTTTACAATGAAGTTGTAGTAGGAACCTTTAATCGTGAAACTGGGCCCCATTTCATTACTTTCTGGCATACTGCTTCATTTGGGGGAAGCACTCTGTTCAGGAGAAAAGCGTGTGGCTGTTACAAACTGAAGAATCCATTCTGACTGATGCGAGCTCGCTGATGCTGAAGCTGTTGAACAAGCGTCGAAGCTGTTACAAACCTATAATATAGAATAGAACATACATACAAAAATAAATAAATTCCAAACAATAAGTCCTCTTTTGTTCAGATGTACATCTTGTGGGGCCTTTATGGTGCTCAAACTCCTTGCTCTGGACTTTGTTATACAGCTTGCGGTACCGACATGCCGCAGGCGCGGCGTAAGTCAGGTCCGCTGCGCTGACAAGGCGTGTCCAAGCACATTTTGGTATTTTGGTGAGCAGCGCAGCCCGGCGTAAGTATACCCCCACCCTAACTCAGCTCCTCCCAGCGGCTTAAGTCGTAGACGGGGAGGAGAGAGGGCGTGGAGTGGGTTTAACACAGCTGAGTCCAATTTGCACCAATCAAATAACCTCCTCTCCTCGCCTTTAAGTCCGCCGTCGGCGAGGCCTATTGGCATTTTCGTGAAGCAGACTTGCAGATGGCGGAAGAAACAAGTGCGAGACAATTGAACTTCTCCCAGGAGGAAACTGATGTTCTGGTCCGGGAGGTCCAGTCTCGCAGTGGCCGGATATACGGTCACGCGAACAGACCTCCACGGGCTGATGATGCAAAAGCAGCCTGGGAGGAGGTAAGTACTGCTGTCAACCAAGTTTGCCCAGACGTGCTGAGAACTGCTGCGCAATGCAAAAAGTGGTTCAATGATGTTAGATGACGGGCTAAACTGAAATTATCCCAACACCGTCGCCAGACGGCAACGACCGGAGGCGGCCCCTCACTGAGTGTGGTGCTGAGCCCTGCCGAGGACGTGGCGTCCTCCACACTCCCCAAAATCAGTATTGAGGGGTTTGGTGTCTCTGAGGTTGGACTCATGGGTAAGACAAACATTCTTTTCCACAAATAAAGACACTAATATCATGTATATTTAACCACGTGTTACAAAGGTGTGTTGTGTGCACAGGTGATCTGAAAAAATGCCATGGGTAATGGGATTGAAATCGGAACCACCTGTGCGTAAAGACGGATCAAACAAAGCCTGATTGTATTTTCTCCCCCTTTCCGCTAATGTTTGCATGTGAAATGAACTTGGCTCACACAATTTATAACTTCTTTATTCTAAATTAAAGTACTGTTAACATTTAAAAAAAATGAATCACTGTGATTTACTAAAATAAAATTTCTGGTCAGCCTCGGCAGAATTGCCGCCGTCGCGGCAGCAGCAGCACCACACAAGAGAGGAGGAGGAGGAGGAAGAGCAGCAGCAGGTGGTCAGGGAGGAGAAGAAGGAGGGAGAGGAGGACGAAGACAACGACGAGGAGGACCAGGGGGAGCCGGAGCCGGTGCGGGAGACACAGGAGGGGGCAAGACACAGACACAAGCCGGCAACACGGGGTCGGAGACCCAGCGGGCTGGTTTTCACATGTTGGAGAGGGAGCTGGGGTCGATGGGGGCGCTGCTTGGGTCGCTGGAGGCCCAGGTGAAGTCGCTACAGGAGGTCCTCCAGGCCAGCCTGCTCCCCCTAGCCTCTGGCGTTGCCACACTAGAGTGACTGGTCCAGGTAGCCGAAAGGCTGCTGCCATCAGCACAATCATCCGCCCCCGCCTGTCCCGCGTGGCCGCTGAGGCCGCGCACAAGAGGGGGGCGGCCCCCTGGGTTGACGGACCGAGCGCAGTGTCCAGACCCAAGAGGAGGAGGAAGAAGAAGAAGAAGGGGGGTTGGGAGGGGAGAACAATAAAACCCTTGTTAACGCAATCATGTTTGACTATTTATTGGATGTTTTAATGTGGATAATTACAAATCAAGTATATAAATGAATGAAAGCAAATACTCACATTCAAAGGCAGAGCTGTGCTGTGAGGCAGTCCCTCCTCTCCTGTGTGCTCTGCTGCTCTCCCTGCTGACATGGCATATGCAATTCGGCCTCTCTCTGTCTAATGTCCAGTAATGTGTCCTCGGCGAGGTCATAGTGGCATCCATGGCGTATAGCTATGTTGTGTAAAACACAACATGCCACAAAGAATGCACCGACACTCTGCGGGCTGTATGTTAATGAACCACCTGACCGGTCCAGACATCTGAAACGCATTTTGAGGATTCCAAAAGTACGTTCAATGACTGACCTAGCACTACTGAAGACACTGATAAAAACACGTTGCTGTCTTGTTGAAGGTGTAATGTATGGCGTCATAAACCACGTTTTCAGTGGATAGCCGTTATCACCTAGCAGCCACCCATCCAGAGGGGTGTCCCCCTGAAAGACTGTAGGGATGATAGAATTCGCCAGGATGAATGAATCATGTGCAGACCCGGGGTAATTAGCGTACACGTTTGTCACCAGGCAATTTGAGTCACAAATCACCTGGATATTGATGGAGTGGACTCTCTTACGATTCACATAAATGAGGGCTTGGGTCTCTGGTGCGCGCAACTGCACATGTGTGCAGTCAATTGCTCCAAGGACCCCAGGGAATCCATATTTCAACAAGAACCCTCGCTTCGTTTCCAGCTGGCTTGCAGGTGATGATGGGAAAATTATGTGCTCATTTGCGTGTCGGACGAGACTGGTGGACACTTTATGTATGGCCAAACTGACAGCGGCCTGACTTATCCCTACCACCAAGGCCACGGTATGCTGGAAAGACCCGGTGGCGAAGAAAGTCAGAGCCGCTGTCACCCTCACAGCAACTGGGAGAGCGCATGGGCCACCGGGGTCTGCATCTGAGGCCACAATGCGTGTTATCGCGTGGACCACCTCACAGGACAGGTGTAATTTGTTCCTGTGTCAAGGAAAATAGTAGATTGTTAAAAGGCAGTTGCATTGAACACGGTGTTGGAGGTGTTATCCATGTGGCCCACCTGCATTCCTGCTCTGTTAAGGTTAAATATGATGCCCTGTGATGAATCACCCTCGCCCTGTAATTTCTCCTCCTCCACCTCCTTGCAATTATGTACTTCATCTTTGTAGATAATGTTAAGCATGGAAATTATTACATTTGTAGCAATGTGAGATCACATGCTGCAGGTAAATCTTGAGAACAACGGTCATAACTTACTTTGCTTCAGTGTGTGTTGATTTTTTCTGAGTGTTCTGAGATGACATGCCAAATATATTCTCTCTCTGTGATGACGAAGCTGTTTGTGGTTGGTAGAGAGACGTGAAGTAGTTAGTTTGCATCAGAGTTTCAGCTATGTTAGTCGGTCAGGTCGCGTGGCAATTAGGCGTGCCAAACGCGCTCCTAAGATATACATCAAAATATACTGATGTACTGTAGAGCTAAATGTATGTGCTGCATATATTTAAATCCCACATGACAAAGATGAGTTGTGCACACAGATCACACCATAAATTCCAATAATGGCATTAAAATCGCAACCATCTGTGTGTAATGACGCATCGCGCTCCTTGGCCTGGCTCTCTCTTTCATAGATGTTGGCATATGAAATAAATTTGGTCACAAAACTAAATATTATAATATTTGTATGTAGGCTTAAAGTAAATAACTCATCTGATCACTGAAACAAATCACCCGTTCAGCCGCTGCAGCAGCAGCTGCTGCAGGACAGAGAGAGGACACAGACACATGTCCAGGTTTAGCTGCGCGATTAGAAAGAGGAAGAGGAAGAAAGAAAAGGAGGGAGACAAATTAAATATCTTGTTCACTTCATCATGTGTGTTTATTTACTAGATATTTAATTTAATTTAATGCTGTTTCAGCTGTGTTGATTCGGTCAGGTTGTGTGTCCAAACGCGAACATCAGATAAGATATAGATCAGAATATATCGATATAGATCTAAATGTATGTGCTGACTCAGATTATTAGTTGTTGTTGATTATTTATTGCACTGAAATGTGCCTGACACTGTGGAAACCTGCCGGTGAGGCATCAGTGATGTATGCCGATACGCCGCCGGTCTACCAAAATACTACTAGACCAGCTGTGCTCCGCCTGCGCTGAAATCTGACCAGGTTTGAATCGGCGAGCTTTCAGCGCACTTTACACACCAGTGGCGAGCACGAAAATGTCACTGCGCCCGCTGATTCTGTCGACACCTCCCCCTGCCACGCCACCACGCCCAGCTTGGCGGATCTCGGTTCGCCTCCGTGCGCCTCAGTCCACGAAAATACCAAACTGGCTGTACGCCGGGCTGCGCCAGACGAAAATACAACTGCGCGGGGCTTGCCGCCCTCCGTCGCCTCACTGGCGTACACGAAAATAGAGCCCTCTGTCTCAAATATCTGTTGCACTTATTGATTTATTTTATCTGTAAACTTTCCAAGCTGATTCATCAGTCAACAACACCACTATGCAGGCTTTTTCAAAACAACGGTGCTTCCAATTGAATCAGATATAATAAAGATAAACACTTTAGATAATTAGAAAAGAGGCCCAGTCAACATAAAAGTAAATAGCATTGGTGCTACTGTAGATGCCAACAGACTACCATGCAGACACTGGTGACTATAGGTGTGCAATATGATCAAAATGTCACATCCTACAACCTCTTCTATACACCAGCACGACCGTTTACAAGCAGAGAAAAGCTAATGTTAACATCAGGCTAATATAAGCTACAAAAGTAGCTAAGCTGGGGAACATGACATTTTTTCAGATAATAAAAAAATCCACCAAAGCAAAACAAATAATTACCCTTCTAACAGAAACATAGCAACCGCTGTGTTGTCTCCACCGCTCAAAGACTACCCCGGTGTTGACTCTGGTTTGTCCTCTTGCTTAATCCAGAGCCTTCTTCATCGCAGCCCTTTCTACCTCCATCTTTCTCTTCTTTGGCTGTGTGAAACTTGTTTTTAGGCTGTTTTTTCTCTGCCTTTGTAAAATGGTCACATATTCTCCAGCTAACACGGTATCCAGACAGAGGAGCGTGCTTGAGTTCTTTTCGTTTCTCTTTCTAAATACATAATGAATTGACTACTCTCAGGGTGAAAGGACCATTCCATCCACTATGACAAAAGGTGTCTGTAAACAACACTGTCTACCCTGCCTTTAATTTTAAAACTTTGAAAACCACACGTCTACATCACCTGAAAACCATGGCAAAACTAAGATACTAAGATAAGCACAGGCAAATTCCCAGTGTTTCCGTTAACAGAGTTACCACATTAACTAAGAATTGTCAGCTAAGTGGTTAAGTGTCCTAACAAAAGCTTTTTTTTTTTTTAAGCCTTCATATGTCAAAGTAATTATGATATTCTGATAATATACTGAACTGAGTGTTTGACTGAAAGTTACCATTTAACATGGTCACCCTTCTTACTGCAAAATCAGAATGTCACTCAAGTGATATTGCTAAAATTTAGGGGAGAATCCAAACTGAGACAGGTAACTTAAAGTGGCACTGGGCCTTTCTTGCACTCCAGGTGGGCTGTTCTGTAAGGGTAGGACCTCGTGCTAAAACTATGACTAAACTGCTTTAAACTGATTCCTATTGAGACATGGTTGCAAACTTGCGACAGGAAAATAAAGTTCCATCAGACTCAAATGGAATGTGCCCCAAAAAAGATGCATCAAAGATAATTGGGTTAAAGTTGTGCTTTTGCTTTGAACATTTACTCAAAAAGTCTTAAAAGTATGCTGCACTTATTGTCTGTACATAAATCTAACAAGGTAATACTACTTATTACTACAGACCTGTGGTTAACAATACACAGATATTTAATTTTAACCATGCAGAGATACAAGTGACTCAATTTTTTTTTTTAAATCAACGACTACCCTGTTCCTTTATTTTAACTTTGTTTGTGTTACGATTTCTGTATTTTAAGTTACTTATGTAATCACACCTCCTAGATCAGAGTAATGCACATTTCATGTGACAGATTTCTACCAATCCTCAATTTTTATTTCTGTTCCAGCCCCAGGTGCTGCTGAAATGGCTCCCACTGCAAAGACCAGATTTCAGATGCAGAAACATGAATTGGAACTGGCCAAACAAAATATAGCCTCACAGGATGACAAAATATTGGAGCTAACAAAGGAGAGAGATTTATCAAGGGCGTAACTGTCTCAGTGTAACTCAATAATTACTCTTATGTACCAATAAACATATGTGTAAGATGTAATTAAATGCAGTAGATGTATACATTACATACATTCTGTCCTTAACAGCAAGAACAACTTATAGTTAGCTGCTTGTCTTGTTTCACAATCTGCATGTTTCCTATCTAATACGGGCAATATTTCATTATGATGTCTTCATGCAGTGTCAAAAACCCCCAACAGAAGACATGATGAGCCACCCTCTGAATCTTCTGTCATTTCCTCATCCAATTCATCTGTGGAGTCAAGGAGTAACTCGTCTGACTGCTCTTCAGACTCCATAACCAACTCATCCACATCTTCAGAAGATGACATGAAGAAGAAGAGGAAAATGAAGATGAAAGAGAAAATGAAGAAAACGAAAAAGACGATGAAACAAACAAGAGGGATGCAGAGCTGTGTTTCAAGAGGTAGTTCATTAGCTTACAGAAACTATTAGTGAACTACTTCTCCAGGGGTCCGTTTCACGTAGGTGGTTCAACAAACTCTGAGTCAAATCCTTAACTCTGCACGTTTTTAAAAGAAAGTGCAATACAGCAGCAGCTGCAAAGGAGAGGGAGAGGGCATGGGAGGAAATTGCTGCTCGCGTCAATGCGTAAGTTTAAATCTAGTCTTGTGCAATCACAATGACAGATTGTTGCAGGGGAAACTGCTTGCATGGAGCCAATTAATTCATTTTATGTAGGTGCAATCCAGTGGGACAAAAGTGCACTTGGCAGCAGCTGAAAATTAAATATAAAAACATTGTGCAAACAGGTGAGACATCTGCATTTTGGACATTCCGCCCACTGCTGCTGCGGCCGCTGGAGGAGAATCACGGTCGGCCCATGCATATAGGCGAACATGCAAGTGCAGCCTGCAGCCAGCCAGTGACTGATTTGTCACATTTTGGACATTAGGGGCGGCGCCGCTGCGGCCAATGTTTTATTAGCTGTGCTGCCCGTTGCACACATTACAATTTGCCGCTCTAATCAGCTGCCTTGTTCGCCTATGTGCAGGAGCCGGCCATGAGTGTGTGGCTGAAAGAGGGCGGAGACAGAGAAAAACTCTGGGTTTACTGAGGAAAACCTGGTCCCGACCAGGGGCCTGTTCTACGAAGCAGGATTACTGCTTAGCGAGGTAACTTCGAGGGTAAGTTTGGGGTTTCCTGTTCTACGACGCGGGTTCACGTCTTAGCGAGGTGAGTCTCCATGGCAACATACGCTGAACGGCTAACCTGCTCCGGGGCAGGTTAAGTTCCAGATTGAACTCACCGAGTATAAAAACCCCGCCCACTGACCAATGAGCTCTCTCGAAAAACGGCTTGTCCGTTCTCGGAGGATCCTGTAGACCTTGGTGCTCTCATTGTACGAGGAGGAGCACTCCGGCGCGCGAGAGTTTACAGGGATTGCACGGACCCACTTACTTTTCCGGATGACCACCTTTATGAAAGGCTCATATGGCCGACATATCACACAAAAAATGTAAACACGATAGGAATGAACAAATGAGTGAATTCATCTTGGAAATGAATGGGCATGAGCTGCATGGGCTGCGTGATCACAGACAACATCTCGGTACTATTTCTCGGTACTACTGTTCAGGACTGCTTACTTGTGCTTCCTACCCACTGTAATAACGGTTGTTCTAGCCCACATGCAACATTTTTGTTCTCATTCATGAAACGCTTAAATCGGGGACATTTTCGGGGACAGATTTAGCTGGGGACAGATCATCCAATTCGGGGACTGTCACCTTAGTTAAAAGCGCATGTTGAACAGTGCTTTTTCAGGGTGATAATGACATCAAAGATGCATTTTCTGCCAGCATTCCCTCCATGCTTTTGCAGCGGCGACGGTGTTGCTTTTGAGGTTTATGGTAGCTTTGAATTCTTCATACTTTCTCATGATCGTCTCCTGCTCCTCGTTTGTAAAGTACGCAGTCCTTGACTCTCCAGCCTGCTCTGACGCTCCAGACTGATCCATGTTCGCGATCGGTCAGATGCGGCGGGCTCCGCCTTATATGTGTGCACGCGCTCATAGCAAAGCTGGATCCACTTATGAGGTTGATAACCAGCATCGTAAAACCGCTTAGCGAGACCACTGGCTACCGCGCTAAGTTGAGCGAGGTAGCTCCAAGGCTACCTCGCTAGGTTGAACTTGCTTCGTAGAACAGGCCCCAGGTTAGGTTCACGGAGTCTGTTACTGTGGTAACTCACTGCGAGGTTGAGTTACCTCTCTTTGTGAAACAGGTTAGAGTTACCCCTCTCTTTCTGGTTTAACTGACCCTCCTTTGTGAAACGGAAAACTCAGAGTTTCCCTGATTTCAGGGTTAACAGACTCTGAGTTTCCATTAAACCTGCTACGTGAAACGGACCTCAGGTGTATTTGCTTGACAACTATGTGACCAAGAAAAGACCATCTGGCCACTTACAATTTGCTACTTATGTTTAACACTTGTTACGCCCCACCTGACGGCGGCCCTATAGGGCTAACGACAATCCTCAACTTTTGACCCATTAAATTAACAAACACCTTCAAATGTTTAACATGTGATTTATTGTGACAAAATAACAAAATAGCAAACTAGACACAAAGCACCCACAACACAAATGAGAGGCAGCAGGGCAGCAGTTCCCCACCAAATTGCCTCTCCAGACTGCAGGCAGCTCTGGGCTTTTAGACTCCCAGCACCAGGTGAGTCTGATTGGCACTCAAGTGATTTCACCTGGGCAGCTGTGGGTAGACAAAAGGGGAAAAACACATGCAAAACAAACACACAGCCGTAACACCCCCACCCTTAAAACAATGAATAAATCATTTGTACTGCAAAAATAAACACCACAATTGCACACCATAAATCCAAAATAATACAAATATTTATTCATTGAATTAAAGTGCATTGTGTCAACTATATTAACACAAGAAACTAACTAAATGGGTGTTACTCACCAAGGCTGTGTGTTACAAAACACACACCACTGCACAAGCTCAAAAAAAAAAAAACTTCACTATTTACCAAAACTGAAGACAACCACTGCTGACAAAAAGGTGCAAAATGGGTCGTGAGGAACACAAAATCTTAATTAGGGCCAAGGAAGATGCTGCAACAAATTCAAAAGCAGCCATCACAAAAGCAGCCAATTAAGTGGGTGCCACTCCCACAAAGCAAAATGGCTACTACCATGAGGTTAACACACACACACACACACACACACACAAAGAGCAAAACACTAAATTTGCCAATACCACACACAGTAACAGATATTCAACACTAAAGGGGAGTGAGCAGTCACACACAAACGGATCAACAAAAGTTGTAGAACTACAACACTGCTGTCAGTCACACACAGCACACAAAGATCCAACAAAAGGTGACTGCCACCACCACCACAACACAAATGGACACAAGTCTTCAAAAGACACACGAATTACTGTGATAAGGTAAGCAACAAGCCAAATGAAAGGAACATACAATAAGGTATACGAAGCAGTAACACAAGTGACCCACCAAATGTGGACTGCAAACCACTACACAAAATGGTCACATAGTAGTCACCACTACACAACAATTGCCACTTTACACCTAAGATGCAACTCACACGTGACCCACCAAATGTGGAGAGCAGTAAACACCAACAAATGGTCACACAACACAAGTTACTGCGCACACAAAATCCTAATTGTTATCACACAGAGTGACCAAGCAAGAATGGGTAGCCCTCTGAAACACACACAAAAACAGTACTATAGTACAAAACAATTTAAAATGAGTCACCCCTACCCCTACCTGCTTAACAAGATGTCTGACTTACCTAACTAATCTTCAGTGGCTTGCCGAGCTCGAGGCATCACCCAAGTGTGCTCCCTCCTCAGGATTACCACCAAAAATAAGAAAGGCAAAATAAAAAAGTGGCAAGCTCTTCCCTGCCCGGCGACTAAATAATCAGGGTGCTCAGAAGTTACAAATAAAAGCAACTACTAATGATAGTGACAGAAACAGAACAAACCCAAACTATGGTCACTAGTTATGAAAGGAAAAAACAAACAAGCAACTACTTCAAAAAAAACCTCATGGATGTTTCGATCCCGGACGAGCCCCCATTTGTTACGCCCCACCTGACGGCAGCCCTATGGGGCTAACAACCAGGGCCGGGTCTAGAAAATGATGACTAGGGGTGCATCTCAGGTCAGAGGGGGTGCACATGCCTGGCACGTTATTCAACACTAAATTATGCATTTTCCCGTCATTTCAAGCGGAATGAAACTAGTCAAACAAGAATATTTAAAATGTCTTTCATATGCTTTATTGTAGCAAAATTGTTGTAGAAAAAGGAAATGGTTTCTTACCCTGAATATTTAACATAGAAATTCAAACTATTTTTAACTATACAGCTCAAAACCATCACTAAACATGACAGTCATTTCAAGTGGAATTCTACCAGTCAAAAAAGAATATTTTAAAGGGGACCTGCCACCAAAATTTCATACCCATTTTTATCATTTTTTCATAATCCTTGATGTCCTCTGATCATGTTTACAACATAATTTTAGCTGAAAAGTTATTTGATGGTTTGTTTTAGTATGCCTAAAAAACCTTACAGGAAAACCAATTGGTTTTGGTTCATTAACATTAATGGTAATGAGCTTTGCTCTGATTGGATCGCTGCTGTGAAGCCTGCTGTGCTCTGATTGGCTCAGCAGTGGAGGTTCGGATTTCGGTTTATCCATTGTTATTATGCTAATGCTGATAGCATATGCTAATGTGTGCTAAAGTAAGGTGCCCAGATGTCTGTAATGATATCCGGGGATATTCGGTGCGGCGGCGGCAATGCAGGGGCTGCAGGGGCTGCGTGATCACAGAGAAAGTCTCTGTACTATTTAGTAGCAGCGCATGCCCCTTGTAATAACCCCCATAAGAACTGTTGCTCAGGACTGCTTACTTGTGCTTCCTACCTATTCGGCTACTGTAATAACCGGTGTTCGAGCCCACACGCAACATTTTTGCTCTCATTCATGAAACGCTTAAATCAGGGACATTTTTGGGGACAGCTTTTGCCGGGGACAGGTCATCCAATACGGGGACTGTCCCTGGAAATCGGGGACGTCTGGTCACCTTATGCTAAAGGCTAAAAACGGCAGGTATTAAACCATATATTTTAGACCCCGAGTCTGAAGAGGAGGTGGAAGTTGAGGAAGAAGTCGGAGATCTCCAGCGGAGATCTCTCATTCATTCTGTCCAGCTTTAAGTTCATTTTCCCGGCAGTGAACCCAAGGAAGGCAGATGAGTGACGTGCACTGACGCGCGCGCACTTCTCCCTCTTTCCAACTGAGCATGCAGCCACATAAACTGAGGGTGCAATGCATGCTTATGCACCCCCGTAGAACCGGGCCTGCTAACAACAATCCTCAACTTTTGACCCATTAAATTAACAAACACTTTCAAATGTTTAACACGTGATTTATTGTGACAAAATAACAAAATAGCAAACTAGACACAAAGCACCCACGACACAAATGAGAGGCAGCAGGGCAGCAGTTCCCACCAAATGCCTTTCCAGACTGCAGGCAGCTCTGGGCTTTTAGACTCCCAGCACCAGGTGAGTCTGATTGGCACTCAAGTGATTTCACCTGGGCAGCTATGGAGAGACAAAAGGGGAAAAACACATGCAAAACAAACACACAGCCGTAACACACTCAGTAGAGCTGAAGCCCAGACCTATTAATTTTCAATCTCTGCAAATGATGTGTTTACATAACTTGTTACCCGCAGAAAATCAGAGACATTAAGATACACAGCAAGTTTATGACACTTCAACCTCTTACACAGCAAACAGGACACTATCTTAAACCATTAAACACTGGAGCTCTTGCTTGAACTTTACTTTATTGATGTTTACCTTTCATTATTGTAAAATCTATCCCCTTACACTGCTGTAGGATGAAAGTCTACAAAAGCATGGGCAGCTTTATGTGTCTTTTATGTGATTGAAATGAGTTGACATAAAAAAATAGATTTTATGTCTTGGTTTTTCAATATTCAGTGTAAATGAAAAGCCACTAAAAAGCTAAGTCAGTTTATTTATATTTGTTTTAATTTATTACATTTTCATTGAGAGCTTGTTGCTTTAAGTGGTAGTGTAGCGAGTGCATCACTTTCAACAACTGTCTTTAGTTTAAAAATAAACTGGTAAAAACTCTTAGGGCCTGATGTACTAAGATCCCAAGTAGCGAGCGCTAAATTGCATGTGCAAACTAAAAAACTGCACGTGCTATTAGTGGGCATGTTGCAGGTGATCTACTATCATTGTGTGCGCAATTGATAACGGGTGCAAAAGTTATTAGCCATCACCATGGAGAGCAGAGTGTTTGAAGCCTTGGAGTTGCACATATCCTATTGGGGAACTGCATAAAGGCAAGGCAAGTTTATTTGTATAGCACAATTCATACACAAGACAATTCAAAGTGCTTTTGTAGATACAAGAAGATATACTAGAAATCAAAAAAGGGATTAAAACGATTTAAAATCAATAAGACAAACAGATAATTTTTTTTGTCTGTTCCGTGTTTGACCTTATTATTTATGAAAATCGTAATTTCCTGGAAAAACAAAATAAATCACAAGCTTTTGGACAAGGATCATGGTGCGTATCATGGCACTTCTGCCTCCTTCTCCCCATAATGACCGTGCGTAATGCTGTGTCAGTTTGCACGTGCCTTTCAAACGTATCCAAGACGAGGTCCAGGCCCTAAAGAGGTCTGAAAAATTACTGCCTCTGGGTAAGGGTAATTTTTAAGTAACCTAGAGATAGTTCATGTTGAGTTAGGGGTTACATTTTACTTGGTTCGTTAAACTTTTGAAAGGTCATGTATTTATTTTCTGTTTTCAGTGCATTTTCTAAATAGTTGTTTCTTTGATGTCAAAACAATATATTAATTTTAACACATTGTTCACGTTTTGGACTACATTTGAAAAAAAAATTCACATGTATATAATCTCGGTACTAATTTTAATTGTTTGAAAAGGCCTATTAGACCAAACTTTTTTTGGAAGAGCTGTTTGAGCTTATCACTAAGTGCTGTGTTTACACATGTATTTTTCACAGTATTTATTACTGATGAAAAAGGAAACATTATACTTATCTTTTGTCCTACTTTTACACTTAAGATCGACTTTCTGCTTTCATGAGGGGGTCCCGCTTTCTGCGGGTGCACATACTTATCACAGTACCCACACATTTTTTAACTCTTAATAAGCCCATGAAACAGTATTTATTAATCTTTATAAGCAGTGTTCCTACTTTAAATCCATTAGTATATAAGTATATAAACAGTTAATAAGTTTCTAATAAGTATATATAAGTGTCTAATAAGATATAAAGGTATTCATTGTGCCTCTATTAACACTTATTTAGACTTATTTGTGTTAACAAGAATCTAATAAGGTCTTATAATGTCTTATAAGTGACTTATTACATATTAATTTCGACTAATTACAACCATCTTTATGTAAAGTGTTACAACTATTTGCCTTTTCTTAAGCTGCCAAGCCATTGGCCACTATTTATTATTTATTAAGCTTTCACTAAAAGCCCCCCCCCCCCCCCCCCACACACACACACACACACACACACACACACACACACACACACATTGTTTTCAAAGAACATTCAGTTTTCACCATTGATTTGATGGTGATTATTAACAGAGATAATATCACATGACATACAGTCTATAAATTTGTGGAGGCACTGAGTAGGTTGTTGATTCACGGTCACAGAGTCAATCAGTTCTTGAACTGTGTAATGAAACTGGTTGTGAGGCTGTGAGGGGCCTGACATGTATTGACATTTAACAGAGCCGCTCAATAAAGTGCTCTGCTTCTGACACAGAGAGGAAAGTGGGTGGGACATGTGAGAACTATCTCACTATCTCACAGTGTAAACGTAGGGGGTAATCTGGAGAGTCTGTGGACAGTAGCAGGACGAAGATTTACAGGAGCTGGCTGAGACTCCCTCAACCTACCTGCTGATGTGTGTTATTACAAGGTGTTTTATCAGGCTCTGACCCATACAGGGTGATCGCTTTAGCAGCACAATCCTGCTTCATTTCAAATCAGGAAAGGCCATGACATTACACACACACACACACAAACACAAACACACACACACAAACACACATCTCATCCTTCCTATAGTAGAGAAGAGGAGGCAGTTAATGGAATAGTGTTCATTATTGCCTGTCATCAGCGCTTCTTTCACCAACTCTCTGTAAACCTTAGTTTGAGAGCGAGCATGAGCGAGTCCCTACTCCTGGAAAAGACTGAAGCGCTTTACGAGGCAAATAAAACAATCACCATACTCAAACTCCGTATTCAAAAACTGTCAAAATCCAATCTACTCACAACCTGTACGGATGTGGCCCACCAGCAATCCCTCCACCTGTTTTCCCTCCAAGCAACCCTCCAGGACACGCTACCCTGGGAGCCTCACAGCCCGAGGACCTTGTCCTGACCGCCATCCACCACAGCACCCAACCAGGACTCAACCTGGACCAAAGTGACCACCCGAGGTATGAAAACCACCAACACCATCCCCTGGAACCCGGCCGGGCCTACCTCAAGCTCCACACCGAGCAATCCACTGACCCGGTCCAAGGTCCTCGCCGGCGGCAGGACAAAACCCTCCAGCGATGCCTCTACAGTCCAGTTGTCCCTCTCTAACCACTTCGAGGCCCTTGAGCATTCTCCCAAGCCGGCCAACACCAGCATGAACCAGTCCCCTCTCGGTGGTGACGTGGTAGCCATCTGTCATCTTCTTCTTCCACTACCCCACCTGGAAACAGCGTCCCCCAGAGCCCCCCCTCCGGAACCCTCGCCCTCACCACCCCCAACACCGGCTCCCCTAACAGGCCCCAACTGGTACTGCACACCCTCGCCCCCACTACAGCAAACTCCCCCCTCCTGGTCCAAACAGCGACTGCACCCTCCAACCACAGAGTCTCCCTGCCAATCTGCCATCTCACCAGGATCTCGCCACAGCCTCTTTATACAAACAATTACAACTACTGGACCCTCCCGTTAAAATCCCATGCATGCAAAACAAAGGACAAGAAATCAAATAAACCTCCACTGCCTTCCCCCTGCCTCACTGCCCACCCCACAGCCCCCCTCCCCTGAAGATGGCCCTTCAAAACATCCACTCCCTCAAAAACAAAGGACATATCCTGGCTGACTTCATAACAGACAATAACCTGCGCTTCCTCTGTCTAACTGAAACCTGGCACAACCATCTCAACCTCTTTCCACTCAACCAAGCCACGCCCCCGGTTACTCCTACCTGCACCAACCCCGCCTCACTGGACGAAGCGGTGGTGTCGCAGTCATCCACAAACAAACCCTCAAGACCACCCCCGTCCCCACCCTGTCCGTCCACTCATTTGAAGATATTTCCGTCAAACTCCCCAGCCCCACCCTTCTGGTCATTGTAACCGTCTACTGCCCTCCAAAGCCCCACCCATCATTCCTCTCTGATTTCTCTGACTTTGTCACCCACCTAAGTACCATCTCATCCTCTGTCCTGCTGCTTGGAGACTTCAGCTTTCACATCGACAACCCCACCTGGAAACAAGCCTCCGATTTCCCTGATCTGCTCGACACCCTCAACCTCACCCAGCATGTACACTCCCCCACCCACTCCCACAGCCACATCCTCGACCTCATCTGTTCCACTGGCATGCCCATCCACCATCTCTCCACCATCAACCTCTATATATCTGACCACCTGGCTGTCACTTTCAACGTCGACCCCCCCCCCCCTCTTCACAGTGAAAAACGACTAATTTCCTTCAGAAACCTCAGATCCATCTTTCCTCAGGACCTCTCCACTTCCCTATCTGCCACCCTGACTGCATTCCCTCCCCCACCATCTGCTAAACTTCCTGACCTACTCAACTACTACAATAACACTCTATCCTCCTGCCTGGACCAGTTCGCACCCCTCAAAACAAGAACAGTTTCATTTAGACACTCTGCCCCCTGGTTTACCTCAGAACTGCACAAAATGAAATCACACAAACCCCAACTGGAACATCTCTACTGCAAAACCGGCCTCACAGTCCATCTCCAAGCCTACACCGACCATCTCCACCTGTACAGAACAGCCCTCAACTCCGCCCATTCTTCCTTTTACTCCAACCTCATCCACTCCGGCTCCAGTAACCGAAAGGCTCTTTTCTCCACAGTCAAAAAACTGCTCCACCCCATAGACAGTACCTCCATCACCTTCACCCCGGAAAAGTGCAACTCATTCCTCTCCTCTTTTCAATCCAAAATCAACACAATCTACAACTCCCTTTCCCCACCCTCCATTCCCAGCTCCTCCCCTCATCCCTTCAGCACTCTCTTGCTTCTCACCTGTTTCTTAAACTGACGTGACCAACATCATCTGCTCCATGTCATCATCCACCTGCCTGGATCCCATCCCATCCTCCCTCATCAAGCACTGCCTCCCCGTCATCTCTCCCATCATCACACAGATCATCAACTCCTCCCTCAACCCCACCACTGTTCCCCCTTCACTCAAACTGGCCGCTGTCACCCCCATCCTCAAAAAACCTGGACTCAACCCTGACGACATCAACAACTTCCGGCCCATCTGCAACCTCCCTTTCCTGTCAAAAATCCTTGAACGTGTCATTGCATCACAAATCAAAGCCCACCTCAACAATAACAATCTTTACAGTTTCAATCAGGATTCCACACCCAACACAGCACTGAAACTGCCCTCGTCAAAGTCACCAATGACCTCCTCATTTCTGCTGACTCCGGCCAACTCTCCATCCTCATCCTCCTTGACCTCTCCGCCGCTTTCGACACCATCGACCATGCCATCCTCCTGTCCCGCCTACACTCCCTCCTCATTATCACAGACACCGCTCTTAAGTGAATCCACTCATATCTCACAGACCGGAATCACTTCATCCACATCAGCAACTGCTCCTCCACAACTGCCCCTGTGCCCCAAGGTGTCCCTGGGCTCGGTGCTCTGTCCCCTCCTCTTCATCATCTACCTCCTCCCTCTTGGCCACATCCTCCGTCAACACAATCTCCACTTCCACTGCTATGCTGATGACATTCAATTATACATCTCTTCCACATCCATCACCCCCAAGACCCACGCTCCCTCTCAAACTGCCTCTCTGATGTCAAACACTGGATGGACAGCAACCTTCTCAAGCTCAACTATGACAAAACAGATCTCCTCATCATTGGCCCAAACTCCCTCACCTCCACAGTCACAGACTTTCATCTCTCCATTGACAACTCCACCCTCTACCCCTCCTCCCACTGTCGCAACCTTGGTATTCTCTTCGACAGCAACCTCTCCTTCACCCAGCACGTAAAGCAAATCACCAAAACAGCCTACTACCACCTCAAAAACATTGCCCGCCTCCGCCCCTCCCTCTCCTACTCTGCAGCTGAAACCCTCATACATGCATTCATTTCATCCCATCAAGATTATTGTAACAGTCTCCTCCATGGCACTACCTCCTCTCTCCTCAATAAACTTCAGCTCATCCAGAACTCTGCCGCCCGCCTCCTCACCCATACATGCTCCTACCAACACATCACCCCCGTCCTCCAGAACCTTCACTGGCTCCCCATCCCCCAACGCATTCAGTACAAAATCCTCCTTCTCACCCACAAAGCACTCCACAACCAGGCCCCCCCCCCCCCCCCCCCCCCCCCCCGCACCCTCCGCTCCGCCAATGCCAACCTCCTCACAGTTCCCCCGACCAAGCACCGAACCTGGGGGGACAGAGCCTTCTCAGTCGCCGCCTCCACCCTCTGGAACTCACTCCCACTGGAACTCAGAAACTGCACTGACCTCACCAGATTTGAGACCCTACTCAGAACCCACCTCTTCTGCACTGCCTTTCATCCTCCATAGCCCCCCCCCCCCCTGTGTTTTATTGTTCTTGCTTCTATTCATGTACAGGGTCTTTGCTTCCTTGAAAAGCGCTTCACAAATAAAATGTATTATTATTATTATTATTATTATTATTATTATTATTATTAGTGAACCCAGCAGACCAGGTTCTTGAGTCAAGTGTGATACTTTGTCCCAGTCTTGCCTGATAGTGGATTTCAGCTGCTCAACAGTACAGGGTCTCTTTTGTCCTATTTTGGGTGTCATGATGCTCCGAATGTTTTCAATGAGGGACAAGTCAGGACTGCAGGTAAACCAGTGTCTCAGCAGGACTCTTCTCCTACAAATCCATGCTGTGTTAATCCTTGTAGTCAGAATGTTGTCTTGCTGAAATATGAAGGTCTTTCCTGAAAAAGTCTTTGTCTGGATGGAAGCAGATAAAATATTGATTCCTCGGACCACAGGGCACTTTCCCCTCCTTTGTATCGGGTTTAACTTTTATTTTTGGATGCTGTGTTTGAGTTGAGTTTGAGCCCATGCAGTGATTTCCACTCCAGAGTCCTGTCTGTCTTTAATGTAGTGCTGCCTGAGGGCCTGAAGATCAGGGCCATCCAGTCTTGGTTTTGGTCCTTGTCCAGAGATTTCTCCAGATCCTCTGAATTTCTTAATATTATGTTCTATAGATGATGAAATCCACTCATTTTTTCACACTCAGGAACATTATTTTGAAACTGTCTCTAGTTACTAACACACTCTTTCAAATCAGCTTCATTAGTGTTCTTGTGTCTTCAATGGTGTTGAAACTTGGTGAAGGCATTACATTTGAAATGAACCCACATTCTTTTTTTTTAATCAAAACAGTATTTTTTTTTTCTTTTTCAGTTTTAGCATCTGATGTGTTGTTTTTGCATTATTCATTTTAAATTTTTTTTTTGCTTGTTTCTTTGTTCTTTTTTTTTCAACACTATTCACAGCAGCCCACCTTTTTGAAGTTGGATTACTTTTAATCACAAGTTGAATCAAAATATTAATTAGTTTGGTGAATTGTTTAAGAAAAATCTTGCTTGTGTAGTTAGCATCAATCCACCAACCTTACCAGCTTCAGCAGACATTTCATTTGGATGTCATACTTGTTTGCATCCCACACACAGCTATCACTGTTACTGTAACAGTGTCTTTATGGAAAATAGAAAGTTTTCTAATTGGAGGTTTCACTGACAAAATTAGAAAACCCTAAAACACAAACATCCTCTTCCACAGGGGGCTCAAAGTCCACCTCATGCTGTGCCACAGCACAGTGATGGATGTTTCCCAGCAGTGGCAGCTGGTGAGAAAAATAATAGGTGGGGCTGAAGGTTTGGAAAACAGAGCCCTGTAGGGGGGTCTGGGGGTATCCTCCCCTGGGAGACTTTTTTATCGTTTTCAAAAGGTAAATGAAGCATTCTGGTGCTTTCGATTGATGTTGCGTAGGTGGAAGTAGGCAGTCCGGGTAATGTTATTGATGTGGGATTGAAAAGATAGTGTACTGTCCAGGATGACACCCAAGCTCTTGACTTGGGCGGAGGGTGAAACAGCGGAGTTGAGGATAGTGAGAGATAAGCTGTAGGTTTTGGATAAGGTGGATTTGGTGCCAATGAGGAATTTTGGGTAAACCAGTTTTTTGTTTCAGTGATGCAGTCAATAAGGGAGGTGGGTGGGAGAGAGGGAGAGGGTTTGGTGGTGAGATATAGCTAGGTGTCATCGGCATCACAGTGAAAATGGATGTTGTATTTACGGAAGATATTGCCAAGGGGAAGTAGGTAGATGATGAAGAGTAGGGGCCCCAGGACAGAGCCCTGGGGCACACCAGAGGTAACGGGGGAGGGGGTGGATTTGAGGGACTTGAGTTGGATGTATTGAGTGCGGCCAGAGAGGTATGATTTGAACCAGTTCAACGGGGTGTGGGTGATGCCAATGGTGGATAGCCGGTGGAGGAGGGTGGTGTGACAGATGGTATCAAAAGCTGCAGATAGGTCCAGGAGGATGAGGATGGTGAGGAGTCCAGAATCAGCTGCCATGAGAAGGTCCATTTTGATGAGTGCTGTTTCAGTGCTGTGGAGTGGGCGGAAACCGGACCGGAACTGTTCGTAGAGGTTATTGTGGGATAGGTGGGAATGGAGTTGAGAGGCAACTGTTCTTTCGAGGATTTTGAGGATGAAAGGTAGGTTGGATATGGGACGGAAGTTGTTGAAGTTGGAGGAGTCGGCACCAGGTTTTTTCAGAATTGGGGTAATGGCAGCAGTTTTGAGGGATGCGGGGACAGTTCCAGTGGTAAGAGACGAGTGGATGATGGCAGAGATGAGGGGGACCAGGGAGGGGGAGCAGGCTTTGACAAGTTGTGTGGGGAGGGGGTCCAGTTGGCAGGTGGATGGTTTGGATTTCTGGATGAGTTTAGTGATCTCAGAGAGGGAGGGGAGATGGAAGGAGGAGAATGGGTGTGAGGGCGGGTGCCAGTTGGCTGAGATGCTGGGGTGGGGGGGTTGATCCAAGGTGCTGGTGGATGTTCTTGATTCTTTCAGTAAAAAATGACATGATGGAGTTGCAGAAGGAGGCTGTGTAGCAGTGAGAGGGGAGAGAGTCTTGGGGTTGGGTGATATTGTTGAGGAGAGAGAAGAGTGTTTTGGAGTTTCCTTGATTGGTGGTGATTATCCTGGAGTTGTAGTGTGCTTTGGTACTGGTGATTGAGTCCTTGTAAAATGACAAATGGTTGTTGTACATTTCCTTGTGAATACTGTTTTCCTGTAGAGGCGTTCCAGTTGTCGACCTTTAGCCTTCATGAGACGGAGAGCAAGGGTCCCTCAGTTTGCTGGTGCGGGAGCTGACTACAGACCAGTGCTCCTGAGATGGAGTGGAGCTCAACGGAGCCTTAGGTTTGGCCCCCAGCCGAGCCCAGGAGAGATCGGAGATGGAGGGTGGAGGCCAAGCAGCCGACGGTGAAGGAGGAGCAGCAGCAGACCTGGCGGGTGAAGGGGGAACAACTGCAAGAGTGGAAACAGCAGGCTCTGGGTGACAGCTGGATGTGGTGGTGTCAGGTTCGGGTTCCCGGGAGCGATTTCTGGTGACGGGTTGCAGTGCAGAAAAGATGATGGTGTCGGGCAGCTTCTCGGCTTCCTGGATCTTATAAAGCGTGGAGATCCTTCCCTCAAGCTCCAAGATTTTATCGGCGAGGGCAGCTCAGCTGATGCAGCCGGATGGAGAAGAGAGTGGGGCCACGATGTCAGCTGGAGGAATCAGCCTGCCTTCAAGCCTGCCTCAGGTCTGCCTTCGAACCGGGGCTGGATGGTCCGCTTTTCAGAGTGTCTCCAGGTTTACTGGGGTTTCCCTGACTGGGGTAGCCGGGGTAGCCGGCTCCGAGGCGCGTTGGGTTAGGATTTGGCAGTGTTATAGGACTAGGTGCAGAGAATAGCTGACCATCTCCTGGAAGATTACATGTGATCCAGGCTGAAGAACGAGCTTTCTTG